TCATCTGGTTTTGCGGACACTCCTGCCTGCCAAAGACAGAATGGTTCCTATAACCATCCCCTGTTCCACGCATCTCCCTGCCTTCGATAATCTGCCAGTTCTGATCAAGACGTGGTGATCACATTGGAATGAACTATACTGCTTTGAATGCACGGCTCACGATAAAGTTTCTGATAGATTGGTTCTCGAGATTTCCCGCTGGAATGAATCTGTGGCCACAAAGAATAGTACATGGACCGTTGTAGGGCCGAAAAACGGCCTAGACATGGTGTAACAAGGGCGCTAAAACCGGTTTGGCCGACGCAGAAAACCAAAGAGGCCGTGTTGTGGCGGCCATGTTATAACCGCGCTATACATAGGGCAAGACGAATAGTACGCTTAAATGAGAGACCCCAGACGGTCATCTCGTACAACCCCCTTTCCTGCTACTTTTTAAAGTCCTATATGTTCCGGGATCCAACAATTTTCGTGCTTTCTTGGCAACCCTCGCACTATTCCGCACAATGGCTTCCATTACCTCACTTAAAAAGACACCTCATAATTATTGTGAACTATGAATTCAAGACAATACCAAAATGGCATGTTTGAATAAATTTCAACCTTTCAGGAATGGAAACAACAGAAAGTGGGCTGAATCGCTTATGTAGAATTGGCAACAACAGCACCTTGGCGGCTATTCCTGCCAACTGTGAAACGCTGGTCGGTCGACTCACCCTAGATCACACCACGGATCTTTCCCAGCTATGGAAACTGTACAACGTGACAAGAATTTACGGACAGTTGGTGATCCAAAACGCCTCGATCACTAGTCTTGCTGCACTGTGGAAGCTAGAGTACATCATCAACCTTACGGGTCCGTTTTACATATAGGAATCTTCTCGAAAAGAAGTTTTTCACGTCTTGGTTTCTTCTATTTTTGAAAAAAGGCTACGGTTTCCTATTTAAAACTCTTTTTAAAAGCACAGTTCAGGACAATTTTGGGGGTATCCGGTATTTTAGAAATAGTGGTAGGTAAGGCCTACACTAGGACAATGGTAAAGCATAAAGGGCTAAAAACAGTGAAAAAAAGGAAAACAAA